CGATATATAGGGAAAAAAATTTAATCTAAATTATCATAATAAGCATAAGTAAATATCATGAAATAGAAACTACCAAAATGGTTAAATATCACTCACTTTAGTCTTGTCACGTATGATAAAGATGTAATTGTTTATGAGGACTAATTAATCGCATGATGCCCTATAGGAAAATAGTCAATGTAACTTCAGGTGGAAAAGTACATGAATAAATACTATATTGTTCCATCAGAGAGAAACACATGCTTACTTGGATACAGTTCTTAAAAGATAGGTTATTGTTAGCGCATTGCTCAGCGTCCATATCATACACCACCTGTGATATGATTCATAAACAAATCAATAATTGAAGCATCATAAATAAAATAAATAGATCAGAAGGCTTACATATTTATCAGCACTATATTGAAAACTGAAAAAAGCAAAAAGGGGCACTCTGCTGCCCTCAAATGAGGTATCATCCTGAGAAATAGGGATAGGATGAAGTACAACTTCAACGTTGTAAAGAACTGCAAAAATGGTGGAAGCAAATTTAGATGTACCTATGCACAACAAAATCGAGATAAACCATACTAAGCAACGTTTTAACTGCTTTGCATGAGAAGCCAAAGCCCAATAATGCTAACAAAGCTTTGATTAGGCTTTGCATTTTTATAATTCAACATCTTCCAACGTGTGAGGCAAAAAATAATTGACAAACCGTGTGGTATCTTTTTTCAACATCTAAATTCAAGGTCGAAATAAACTAACAATGTGAAATTTTTCTTTAGTGGCATAGGTTACCTTATTTTGTCCAAGTAAAAAGAACAAATTCACATAGTATAGTTTAGTTCTCAGGGTTATCAATTATTTGCCATCGACTAAATATTTTACTTTGTTTGTTAAAATATTAAATACACCAGTTGCTGCATTGCTGACAAATTTTGTTTTGATTTTCAGGAAAACTGAGTTTCGCATTATCAGATGAACAATTCTGAATAAGAATTATTTGAAAATAAAAATATGTAAAACCACAAAGAAAGATTTAAAATAATGTGTAATTAGAACATTGAGCATTTCAAAATATTAAAATGTTAAAAATTATATTGAAAATATATTTTTTAAGCCCAACTTAAGAAAAATTATGCTCAAAAGAGTCGAATCTTAAAGCTTACCTCTCATGCCCTTCTTCCATCAGAAACCCTCTTAAATCCTATGTAATTAGTACAAGGTTTCAATATCCACACACCTTGCCAGCCCAAATTCCTTTAGTAGTTTGAGGCCTGAAGTACAAAAATTAATAATAGTAAAATAAGTATATATTCAAGTTACGAAATATCAAAGAAGCTAAGAACTTGCCTCCCCTAAATGCATTCCATCTCTTTGAACTTGGATGGGAAAAAGGATGGTTTTAGAAGAATGCTTTTCCCTATCAAAAGTGAAACTAAAAATTTAAGCTTATGGTAAAAATTTTAAAAAAAATTATGGAATACCAAATTAACCCCAAGGTAGGTATTTGTCAAAAACAATGTTAACATAGCATAAGTTATTTGCATGACACAGGCATTGACAATTACATAAATGCACCCAAAGAATACCATATAAAAAGTTTTGTAACTAAGTGTGTATCCATGAAGTTGAGGTCTGGTGGAATTGATATGCACAAACTTAGCTATATTTGCTTGAAAAATTTTCCATGACTCAAATCACAATGAAAGGCAACTTACCATCCATATTTTATTAACCTAAATCATACCAAAATTCAATTATTGCACCACAAGTGATAAGATGTTCCATTTCAAAAATCAACTGTTTTAACCTATATGTTACTATCTATTCCAATAGAAGTAATTTGTGTTGCTCTTCATTTGTTCATAACATGTATGTTATAATTTGTTTGTTTTTTGGCCTGCAAGTTCACAAAAAACCTTTGATATATTCATGCACACAAAAAGTTATGAAAGCAATTATATCTTAAGCAGGCATATAAAAAAAAACTTTATGCCACACAGGGTTAAATTTGGACTTTTCATAAATAAGAGGAGACCTAAGTGACGAAATAGAAAATAAGTTAAATAAAAGAAAATCATTATATAATCATAGATAATAGAGAATAAAAGTGATTATCATATCAAAAGCAGCGCAAATAAAAAGGACACCTTTAAGTACAAGGGCTGCACAATATGAGCATTTATGCAACTAATTATAAAGATCAATTATGGAGCCCTTTTCTTATGTTGACAATTTATGTCACAAATAGCTTGCAGATGAAATATCATGTGAGTTCTTATTGACGTAAAAATAAAGCAACAAACACTCTCACTGTAGATTGGCAAGCAACTCAACAAGTGCTTTCTTTATGATTATTTGCTTATGAGACATACATTGGGGCTATGATTTTCATTGTTATTTACCACACAAATAAAATTGGCAAAACATTATTTGAAAAGGCAACATGGAAACAACACATAGCAAATATGACTAGGCAAGCACCAACCTTTTGCGCTACCTTTTATTACAAGCCACTACCGCTTTGAATGTTATGTTTTATGTATTACTCCTCTGTTCCTAAATTATTTTTATAATTAAATGCATAATTTAGGAAATCTAGCTCTAGCTAATAATCTGATTGGGAAAATCTTAAAATTAAAGTTAAGAGTCTAAGGACATACAATTAAAACAATATGAGATTCCTAAGAAAATTGTTGGAAATGGTTACTTTCATAACATTAAACAAAAGATAGAGAAAAAATAATTTAAAGAATGAACAAGAAACATTACCACTGCTTCGAGGACCCATTTTGGAGGACTACCAACATATGAGAGACACATTCACCAAGTTCCACAGTCTCATGAAATAAAACATTCCAAAGACATTATATACACCCATCCCATCAAATTATTTTTGGTTAGAGCAACTACTATCCCCCCATATCTATGAACAAAATTGACCATGCATGTATTTTAAGGAATAAACTCACTACATTTTCATTCACCTTTGTAATCTGCCCAATAGAGGAAAAGTTGACTTAATACATACTTAGATGTGCAGTAAGTTAACGCATGAGTTAAAAAATATTGTAGTTAAGTCTGACAGCATAAATTTCTTAAAAGAAAAATCTAACAAACTGTTTTTTTTTTTTTTCAATAACTCATTAACAAATATGAAGCAAGCAAACAACAACGAACTGCTTGATTTTTGGTGACTAAACATAAAGCAACAGTCTATAAAAGTTTAGTGTTAGGCAATAAAAATTAAAGAGGAACAATAAAAACAAAATAATGGGCATAGTGTGATGCATATAAAACAAGAAAAAAAATAAAACAAGCACACCTAAAGTTAATCCAAAAATAAAAAAAGAGGAAAATTCACACAGAGACAATTGGATGAAGCCAGCATAAGTATATTTATTAGTCTATCGAGTTGGTATTCATTCCACACATAAAAATCGGTCATTTCATGACATTTCCTATCAAAATGAAAAAAAAGGATCAAAAATGGCTATTTAATTCTCATGAAGGACCAAAAATGACTCCCAAATAATTAAATGACCATTTGATTTCCAAGTCTTTTAAAAGAATTAAAACAATCATATGATAATTAAGCGCCTTGAATCCAAAACAACAATATTACTTCCTATATATTTATCATCAAGATATATGTCGCACTCAAAAATTCGCATACAATACACAACTGAAAGGATATATGAAATTATTTAAACATGAATGGTATTTCATATGCTGTAGGGTCTTATGTATACCAAGAAAACTCGAAAAATTGTTAATTTCTTAATACCCCAAAATTTGGCTAAAATACAACATGGGTTTCACAATCACACACGGCCAAAGTTGCTTAGAGCATTTCCATGGTCAATTGCCTAACAAGGAAAACATATTTTCCATGGCCATTAAGAAAAAAAAACAAAGCCCTAGCAGGCAATCCCTCTAATAAAAAGAGGGGAGAGGGATATTAGAAGTTATAAAAAAAATTGAAGCAGAACCAAAATAATAATAATAATTAAAGAATAGCCAAATTAACTAAAGATCAGTACTTGAAACTAAGGCTCACTTTGGGCTGCCTTTTCACTACTTTGGCTTTTTAGGTCCACTGATGCAACTCTATTTTGCTTTCTCTAGGTACTGTTTTTCAAAAAATTTTAGAAGAAACAACATTTTACAACTATATCTGCCTAAAAAAATATAAGTCACTGTAAGAAAGCCTGTTCACTTTGTATATATTAGCAAATTCAGCTTCAAAAAAAGGTTGCTTTTATTACAAGAATTCCCACAATTTTTACAAACAATTTTACCCACCCCAATCAACCCAGCCCAAAAAAGATGAGGATTTTGAATTCCATGCTTTATTTAAGACAAATACTGCTTAGAAACTATTTAAATATTTGAAATTAAGCATGCAACCTGATATTCTACATTAATTCTTTTCTAACATGAGTTGGCATCAAGAACTAATAACCAAAAAGAACAATTTAGTTTGATTTGCTAAGAATAGAAACAATTTAATAAAATTCATTTAAAAAATTAATATAAATAACTCTACAATTGGTTTATTAAACTTTAAACAGGCAAATTTGTTCACGCTTACAGTTCAGAACTAATTCCAATACATTTTAGAAGTTCACGTCAACATATTTAAAGTAGATTTCAATTTTTCAATAAGCTCATATTCATAATCAAGATCAAATTCAGATTCTAAATATAGATTTTAGCATTTTCAAATATTAATCATAAGTTCATTTTCAATTTTTGATGAAGGTTTAAATTTTAAAATGCAATACTCATACTCATATAACCAATTTATAAATTCAAATATAATACTTTCACAATTTAAGTTTAAGTCATTTCATTATCGCATTCAATTTTCACTCAAAGGTTAAGCTCCAATATGATTTCAAAGCTCAATTGTTTACTCTTTTTTCAAGTATGGAAGTTTGTATTCCATGAATATTTCTAAATGGGCCGGAATATATATTTTTAACATCAAATATAACCCACAGTTGTAGCAACAAATCATTCTTCCAGTTAATAAAATATCCTTGCATAATATAATTATAAACTATAATTTTCTTCAATAGATCATGTTTAACCTAAGTATGGATTTATTTTGTTTTTGTCAGGTATATTGAATAGACAAAAAGAAGGAAAGATCTCTCTCTAT